AAAAAATTCAGTGCTTATAAAAATAACGTTCAGAAGTACTTATTGATTATTGAATGGAACCCGCGAAAACTCACACAATAAGCACAATTTGAGCACCATTGAAAACTTTCTCACGACAGGAAAAAAAACGATAGACCGTATACAATCATACTTGATTGATATTCCACGGAATTTGACAGGTGAAATCTTTGTATGATTGCCACACGAGTGTCTGATAATTTATTAAACATTAGCAAGAAGTGACTGTGCTTGTGTCGAGCAAATAATCTGCAATGTCGTACTGCACTTGTGTATACCACGCTCACTGTCTCCCAACAGAAAATGAAGGCAGGCTGCATTCGAAATGTAAATTTCACTGAGAATTTCTCCCTCAATCATTTTGGGGAACATCGAGGTACATATTTTTGTTCACACAGGAGCACTTGGTGCACGCATGAATACATTTCACACAATTGCATTGTGCGCACTCGGAATACTGTACTGTACTTCATTCGCGTTTCAGAAAAACAATCGCACAAAATGAGAACTTTAGATCGAGTGAGATTTTAAAAAAGGAAAAAAAAAAATTTCTTGACGCTGCTACTTCTTTTTCCTTTTTTTAAATCGGAAGTTTGCGATCGTTTCCGGTTACACGTGGTATATTTTGGGCGCTGAATAATTATTATTATTTTCATTAGCTTTATGTAAAAAAAAAATAATAAAAGGAAAGGGGATTTCGGGGAGCCAAAAAACCCGTGGTCGGGATGAGAGAAATATACCGTGGTCGTTGCGGAGCGCAGGACCGTCGCTGCTGCAGCGGGCACGCGAGCATGCGGGAGAATGAGCAGCGGAAAAAAATTCAGTGCTTATAAAAATAACGTTCAGAAGTACTTATTGATTATTGAATGGAACCCGCGAAAACTCACACAATAAGCACAATTTGAGCACCATTGAAAACTTTCTCACGACAGGAAAAAAACGATAGACCGTATACAGTACAATCATACTTGATTGATATTCCACGGAATTTGACAGGTGAAATCTTTGTATGATTGCCACACGACTGTCTGATAAGTCATTAAAAATTAGCAAGAAGCGACTGTGCTTGTGTCGAGCAAATAGTCTGCAATGTACTGCACTTGTGTATACCACGCTCACTGTCTACCAACAGAAAATGAAGTCAGGTCTGCGTTGCATTCGAAATGCAAATTTCACTGAGAATTTCTCCCTCAATCATTTTGGGGAACATCAAGGTACATATTTTTGTTCACGTATAGGAGCACTTGGTGCACGCATAAATACATTTCACACAATTGCATTGTGCGCACTCGGAATACTGTACTGTACTTCATTCGCGTTTCAGAAAAACAATCGCACAAAATGAGAACTTTGGATTGAGTGAGATTTAAAAAAATAATAATTCTTGACGCTGCTATTTTTTTTATCGAAAGTTTGCGATCGTTTCCGGTTACACGTGGTATATTTTGGGCGCTGAATAATTATTATTATTTTCATTAGCATTAAGTAAAAAAAAAAAAAATATATATATATATACATGGAAAGGGGATTTCGGGGAGCCAAAAAACCCGTGGTCGGGATGAGAGAAATATACCGTGGTCGTTGCGGAGCGCAGGACCGTCGCTGCTGCAGCGGGCACGCGAGCATGCGGGAGAATGAGCAGCGGCTGGGCGCGGGCCGCGATCTGGAGGGCGTGGGGCAGCGCGGTCTGGGCAGGCGGAGACGCCGACGCCGACGCCGTCGTGGCGGCCGTGGCGGTGGCACCACCAACTAGACCAGCTGGCACCAGCAAGCCGCCACCGCTGTCTCGAGCGACAGCAGATGCCCGCAACACCACCGACGACGACGACGACGACGACGACGACGAAGACGTGGAGATGAGGATCACGCGGGCCGGATGCTGCTGGCTGGCTCGCTCCTCCGCCGCCATGTCAACTCCTTGGGCCACGCCCGCGGCCCCGCCTCCCGCTTCGTGTTCTCTCGCTCACTCCCGCCCACTCCTCCTCTCGGCTCCTTCTCGTTTCTCAGCAGCAGCAGCACGGCAACAACATCTTCCTTGGCTCGGGATCCTTCTTTCTTCTCTCAGGTTCCGCGTGCCTCTATATACTCTGTCTGTCTGTCTGTCTCTCGTTCACTGCTGCATACGTCCATAAAGCTTCATCTCGACACTTTGCCAGCGTCTGTCTTTCTTTTTATCACACACACACTCTCACCCAGGTACATGCGTATGCCGCGCGAAAATAATAAAATAAAATAAATCCGGAACCGAAAGGAGAAAAAAAAAAAAAAAAATCAGCCCGCGAGCTGATTTCAGATCACTTATGGAATGGATGGGAAAACCTGCAAAAAAAAAAAAAAAAAAAACCAAGAATACCGGGATGAGTTCAAGTCGAAAGATCCAGCGCCTTTTGCAAATTAAAAAAAAAAAAAACACAGTGCAAATCCTCGGCTTTTCTTCCCCTCCTGCCGATGATAAGACTCCATTTTTCTGCTTCATGTCTCCACCAGAAATTCGAGGGGCGGCCTGGAAAAAAAAATCAAGAACAAAATATGCATTGAAAAATGATTGAGAAAAATTTATTAAGAGAGAAATTATAAAGAATGGTTCCAAGGTTTTCACAGCAACTTGAAAAACAAATTTGGTGTCCAGAATTCTTCAAAATGGTGTGAAATCAATAAATACAGGGTGGGCGAAAAAAGTGAATCAAATTTTGACTTAAAATAGCTCAGTAGCAAATTAAGATGTGGAATGAAAGCTTGTTTAATTCTCTTCCAAATGGTATGTAGTTTTATGGTCCCAAGTGCCACAGAATTCAAAATCATTTTCACTTATAATCAGTTTCTGCAATCCAGTCATCCAGAAAATAAAAAATTAGCATGCAGTGTGTCACTGCACGAGGGGACAACAGGAGCCCTGCAGCAACCTATCCTGCCAATTTCCTTGCCCCTTTCCAACCCCTCTGATTGAATTTTGGGATCATGTGCATGCTCTTCAAGAGAGCATGAAGTTTTCTGGTTACATCATTGCATCACGAATTTCCTTCATTGGTGCAAACAGCTCTCCACAACCATAGATTGGCAGAAAACGTTGCCTGACAACTTTATTTCTTTTTGAAAGTTTTCATTCAAATTGTTTTTGTGACCATTCTGTGGCACTTGGGACCATAAAACTATATCAGATTTGAAAGCAAATTGAATAATCTTTCATTTGGTTTTTTCTTCATAGCCAGAGCTCAATTTTCTACTGAGCTATTTGAAGTAAAAATTTGGTTCCCTTTTTTAGGCCCACCCTGTATATGGGGCTGACGCAATCGCTCGTAAATCATTCATTAATTTGCAGGTGATATTTTTCTCAAGTACAGTCTTGAATTTTGAGATTTATTGCTGACCTGTTGCACAAATAAACATAGAATTTTTGAAATAATGCATGGCACAGTATTCATTCGCCATTTCTCCAAACCATAAAAGGCCGTCGAATACTTTTCGAATCATATTTAAAAGTCTTAAAACCAAGTTTTGCATAGCGGCGGGGTTGAAGTTATGCATTGCAATCTTCGGAGCATACTTTTCGCATATATGGTAAATTTTCCTGAGATACAAATTGTCTATTCAATAATTATTTAAGCGAATAAAACGGAAGAGTAAGAGATTATTCGCCGGATCTAGATGCAGCATCTTCTTGATTTATGCAAATACTGTAAAAATGTACAGTATCATCAGTAAAATCAGCAACAATAGCCCTTTAATATTCATATTAGCTTTTGCATTAGGAATCATTGCCTAAAAATATGTTGCTTTTTCATGGGGACACGTGTTTGTCAAATCAAAACGAATGCCAATCAAGTACATTTTTTTATTCTCTTGCACGTATGTGATATTTATCGTAGCACTTTTTCTGCAAGATAATTCAGCTAAAATGTTGAATTCAGTATTCAATACTCACCTCTCAGAAGAAATAGGGTGCCCTTCGAGTTTCACTCACTTTTCAAAATTTGAAGGGTGAAATCCTGAGCTGTGGTCAGATATTCACCTGTTTCATCCTCAGTTCCATTCATTCAACCAAAATATGAATCGAACAGGTAAAATGATTAGAATGAAACAAATTCACAAACTAACGATTTGTAATCACACTGCTCATACGACCCGTGTATGTGGTCCACTCATTTTTATACCGTACTCATTTTTTTGAAACTGTTATATTTTCTTGAATTTAAAACTGAGGCGATGTTTCAAAAGGAAAACAGTTCAGGTACAGCCGGAATCTTTCCCTGGTAGCTTCTGCGGATTTACATCACGCAAACTATGTTCACCACCCTGTCCGAAACTGAATTTTCTCGACGCTAAACGCAATGCAAACTTTTTTTTCAGTCTTTTCTCACAAAAGCATCTTCGGAAAAGAGTTATCCCTTCCGAAGTTGTCGACAATAAAAACGCACGGAAAAATCGAATTGTCTTTTCACCATCCACATATTTTTTCACGGTGATTTATTTCTTTCCATTGATGTAGTGTATGTGAAAAACAAAAAAACCAGATAAAGCTTAATTATAATATCTTGAAACTTGAAACAGTTGATCCGATGATAGAACTTTACACGAGTTTGTCTACAACAGTTCCGATTGACGATAGAACTGCATTTCATTCCGCAAATGAAAAGAAAAACTAAGCGTCTGATGGACAACTTCTGTTATGAATGGATTCTCTGGTCACTCAATGTGAATTGCGTCTTTCAAGAGCAGTAACTGTGTATGCAAACATGAATGGTGTTTATTGGATATTGATATTGCACTCGATATTAATTTGCACATGGGAAGGTAGGAAAAATACGCTAACTACCGAAGGGAAGCGCGATGTGGGATTGAGGCAAACGATCTTGGGAAAACGTGACAGCGACACCTGTGCATTGAAACGGAATCTCCCACGGCTCAGTTGACTGAGACCCAGCTAGAGGATACGTAAATCTGCTTTTTAGCGTTATTCGGGAACTGGCTATCAGTTCCGTTTGCAGCAGTTCCCGACGGTTTCCTGGCACAACGAACGAGTGAAGACTTGTCAAGAGTTCAACATTTCATACAAAGCAGATCCCGTCGAAAGTTTTCCATTAGAGAGATGAATTGTTAATCCCATTCGAAAATTCTCCATCGCAGTAACTGCGGATATTATCACCAAGCACGACTCGATGCCATATACTGACGCGTCGACGAAACCTGCGCAGGCGTGACCCCGAGAAAAAAAAGGCCAACAAATCACGTCATCATGACGTCACTGCGCCGCACGTACGGCCAGTGGGCGGAGCTCAAGAGCCGGGGCGTGCGCGACACGGAAGGCGCGGCCGAGAAGCCCTTTCAGCGCGACCCGCACTTGGAGGCGTTTCAGTATCCGCAGTCGGACGGCGACGTCCACGCCCACCGACTGCACAGCAGCACCACCGGTGCCATCCCACTCTTCATGCTGTCCCACTTCAATTGTCCCTCCGACGACCCCAGATGCAAGGTAACAGTAATTATAGGCAACGCAGTTCATAAGTGATGATATGGAACAATCGTTGTTACAACAAAAGTTTGGGGGCTGGACTTCAGAAAAAGTTTTTTTTTTTTGGGGGGGACTTAATTCTGTATTTCATCACGTGAAACAAATCTCACAACACCTGTCTACATTCAATTGAGTCTTTCTTTTCTGGCATTTTCAGATTTTGTATTATTTTAAAAACAGTAATATTCAGAAAATGGAAAAGATTAGCTTCATCAATCATGCATTAAATCAGTTGCACCATGCTCTCCATTCTGGGAGTATGATGCAGGGAACCACCAGAGTGGGGAAATTGGTGCACACTGGGGATATGTTTGTAATTCTACACAGTGACCCTGCTGTGCACCTGAAGTGTACCAAAGTTCTTCTGTTGCACATGCATATCCAGAACATGCACCAATTGTGCGTTCACACCAGGACTACTGAGGGTCACATTTGTAAACAAATAAGTTACACCAAGGTTACAGTTGGCACATTTGCGTGATACTCCTGTTATGTCACATTTGTGCACCAAATGTAGCCCAGGAATGGGAGAAAAAGTTTGTCTACAGAGGTGCATGATTGTAACCCCAGAATAGCCCATGTACACCAATTGTGACCCCAGTATAAACTATTTCTGGGGTCACACAAAGAATAGCTCCCCCACTTGGGTAGCACTTGAAAACACGTTTGGCATTGATTACAGCTTCCTTTGACACAATATAAGAACCAACCAGTCTTCTTTGGGATAGGAAATTCTAGACTCTGCTTGCCTCAGTCGGGAAAATGTTTCCTATAAAATCTATTTACCACAAAACTTCAAAAAAATTTCACACTGGAATTTGGATGTTTGTTACACCGACATTTAAAAAAATAAACTCCATGACATTTCCGCCTGGAGTTGAGAAAAACTTTGTTGCCCTGAAAAATCTGTGGTAATGGCAATAATATTCTACTGTTTTTACAGTGCAAATTTTCTCTTGATTGCTTTTGCCTTCCTATTTGCAGGCTACAGTGGTGTTCTGTGCCAGCGTGTGGCACTACATGCTGTACCGCGTGTACCAGGCGGCACAGCAGCACCAGTACCTGCGCGTGCGAGCCCAGACGGCGGCGGCCTTTGCCCAATTGCCGCTTTGCGTCCAACTGGCCTGGTACGCCGTGCTCCTCTTCGCATTCTCCCTCTTCTCCATCGTCACCATGGACTGCACCATGTTTGTGCTCAAGTATGTCTTCTATGACTCTGGCGTGTACTTGAGACGAGTGCTGGGCATGGCGGCGACAGGCGCCAGGCTCGCGGCAGCTTCGACGGCGGCGCCGGCACTCAGGCGCCCGAGCGCGGCAGTGGCGGCGGCGTCCAACTCATCGCCGGGCCCCAAGTACACGTCGGCTGCGCATCCGACGACGCCACATTTCATCGCTGGCGCCATGAACCAGGCTGGTACCTTGAATAGGACGCCTTACGAGTTCTCGGACCGCTTCCGCCACGCGTCAGTCAGCGGCTAGTTTACTCGATATTATTCTTATTTATTTTCTTTGCGTGTTAAAAGCATGTTTGTTAAAATTCGAGCGACATCTAGCATATTTCAGCTGTTCCTTTGCGCGCGCGTTTCTTGTTTGAACGCAGCGTGGTGCGCTTCCTTTTTATTCCGGGCGTCGTTTCCTTCCTCAGTCTGCCATGGAAATTTACTTCGGAAAATTATCTTGTCTGCTGTTTTAAGAAATCAATGTTCTCTGCGAAACGCCATGATACAGTGCATTGATGCTTTCGTCATTGGAATCCTGCCGCACATTGAAACTACATCTTGGAATTTAGCATGATGACACGCAGTTTAAGGTAGAGTTTGTCTGAATTTGCAAGAAGCATGAGCCATTCAGGGTATATTCACGGTACATCCTAACTCCCACTTTATGTTAGCATGAAGTTTCTTCTCATCCCTGAAATGTTCATATTTTCTCGACTCTTCATAGTTTTTTTTTTTTACGTGCAAAATTGCGACGCAAATAAGTTAAGAACGGTTTTGTATCATCGACATTTCAACAGCAATGAGCCTTGGGTTTATCAGAAATGTATAAAGCCTTAATCTTTGCACATTAATAATAAATTTCATGAATCAGAAATTAGGTGAGAAGTAATGGTTCGCGGAATTCTTGAGTCAAATCTTTGCCCAAACGAAATCAAGTATCAAATAATCAGAGAACTGATTTTGAAATTTTACCGATTGCCTTGTTCCAAGCAAAGTGAAGGTGTACTGTAAAAGGTATTTTCTCGACTCGACATTCGATAGGATAAGTGTTGATACACGGCTAATTTTTGGGACAGGTCATTTTCATTAGTAACCAAGGTCGGGGTCTGATATTAGTGGCTGGGACACATTCCGTGAATAAATTACAATTTCATATTATCCAAAAAGAGGACTTTGGAAAGCGTTGCCACCCTCATCACATTCATTATTCCATCCGCTGAGAATGTGACTAAACAGTATCAGCCAACCAATTAAATGAAGAAAAAAATTAGTAGCAAAAAGGAAGTGCTGAATCGAAGGGTCTTTTTTCTGCATGCACGATCCACTTCCCGCAGTATTTTCCCTCAAAAATTCACCCACAGTGAGACCCCAAATTTAGGACGTAATGCATCAAGTGTGTCCCTAAGTTGAGTCTCATTTTCCCTTAGACTTACAATATACTGTATAGTTTTTTATTGGTGTTTGTAATTACTGTTCTCGTCATAATATCCATGAAAATAAAATTGTCTCCTAATTGAAACTGATGCAATAAATATATTTCAACACAATATGGACATTTGGGGAATTGAATACTGATACCTCTGTACAGTACATACAAATGTTGGCATTCTCAGTAAAAAATAACATTCAAGTGAAAAAGAGAGAAGGAAGTCCCTCTATGCTGGAGGTACAGTACTTTTTTCAATTAGCTAGATGGATGGTAAATTGTTGAGAGAAAGGCCCAGGAACTTTTCTTGCATCAACTTTAGGGTTGTAAATATCTGTTTCTTGTAATTTGGCCTGAAACGTATTTGAAATTTCATCACAAAATGTCTCTTATGTTGACTCAGTGTCGTCATGTTGGGCCTTTTCTATTAATTTTTCATGGGAAAATAACTGTCTGTGTGTCAAATTGTCCACATATTAAGGTGTCTCTATGTGGGGGTCTCACTGTACTTGATCATAAGATTTTATAAAAATGTTTATATACTGTATTAAAAATAAAATGAATTCGTATTGGCGAGGGGGGCGAGAAAGAGTTTTCGCATGTCCCTCTTCAAAAAAAAGGGTCGTCCAGTAGAGGAAAAGTTGCCAGAAGCTGGAGCAAAATCACCAGAAAAAAAAATAAAAATACAGTGACATCTAGAGCAGCAGCAGCAGCAGAAGAGCTAGTGGAGGAATGTCGCTGGTGCTGCTGGCTGGGGTCGAGGAGCAAAAGGCGGACCTTGACCGGGTCAGGTCACACACAACTCGCGGGTCCCGTTCGATCCCCGCTCGATATACGAGCCCGACATCACGTGAATGAAGAGCACCAGCTCACACTGTGTCTGTCTCTGCCTCGTCAATTCTCTATTCTTCTTCTTCCTCTCGCTTTCGAATCCCTTGCCTCTTTCTGCCCTCATCATCAGCACCGGAATAGAAACGATGACAGAAGAAGAAAACAGAGACACCGTGCTTTCATGCCGCGAGGATTTTAGCACGAATATCCTAGAGTTGTGCTTTCGAAAATTAAAAAAAAAATGCTCACGAATTACAAGGGATGAATCTTGAAGTGATGTCTGAACATCGCGTGGACTTTTGCTATTTTCCTGACGAGAAATCAACGTATGCGATAATTATCTCTTGGAGGCATTTGCGAGCCTTTTCCTTTCATACAGATTGAGCTATAATTGAAAGTTTAATATGACAGTGATTCGATCGAATCCCTGCGGAATTGGCGTATGCCTTAGTTCAAGTTGAATACCGACTCTTTTATGAAGAAAAAATGAAGGATTTCCCTGGGAAAAAATCGAGTTAATTTTCTGTTGTTTTTAAAATTTCGAATTATTCAAACAAAACCAGTGCACTTCGAATCAAGGTCGAATAGCACAGTAAAACGTTTTTTGCATTCTGAAATAATTTTGTACGTGAGAGAATACATGAGGCGATTCAAGAGAAATTCTACAGATGTATGCACTGCAAATTTCAAGAGTTCACAGACATAATGGCATGAGTGAACAAGCTCGAGGCCACGTGGTTCTGATTTTACTCTTCGTGCATTTGAAAAGATGCGACTGATTTCGTTCTAAAAAAAAAAAAAAATTGACACCGGGAGGGTTTTGCTAGTGAACCATCACGCATATAATACTTTTTGAGTTTAAATCGAATTACGTAAAATATGCTAGTGTATATGTTCGGAGCGTTCAATTTATTTTGAATAATCTTGACGGGAAACAGCATCGATGGCATCTTTCTCATGCACTGCATTACACTTCTCTTTTTTTTTAAATTAAATTTCTGTGAAATGTGCATCAACCTGTCTTCCATTATAGCTAATACGGTTTCTCCACTATACATATTCAACTGCGCGCAGTTCCCCATATTTTACATAAGCAAAAGCCCTGAGGCAGAAACGTATATAAATAAAGTTTCATCGCTTCACATGACTCCCAGGCATTTAGAATTTTTTCCTCATCTGATAAAAGCTACGGCCTGCAGTGGATCCATGTCGCGATGGAATCGTACCTACTAAAAGAAAGCATACGATACTTCAGTTTAATGGAGCCGTGGACTCGTAGGAAATTTCCATTTCGCCCGCGAAATGAGAATGTTCTCGCTAAAATCCAGCGAGGAAAGTCGAAAGGGGGTGTTTCAGGAAACTCTATTCACTTTAGTGACGTCACGAGATGTTCCGTGACAAAATGTTGCTATAGTATCCAGTGTTGCAACATCACGGGCATTCATTATTTCAAAACACGTTGCAGGAATTAGTTTAAAATTTCCGATTCGAATTACTGTAATGCCCTTTTGCGATTTTAGATACTTTAGCGAGGATTTCCTCAGTGAAGATCAATACTGTACTGTACAGTATATAAGGAAGCGGGTCACTCGCAACGAAGAATACTCATACAATTTCAAATAAAATGAAAAGAAACCCCTCTTTTGAATTGGGCTATGAAAACATGTCATTAATCGAATATGACCCGATTGATCCCTGCCTTAAAGAAATATTGAAAATCTTTCCGCTTCTCTTGATTTCATCCGCATATGATGGAAAAATTAGTTTCAAAATATGCTTCACTAAATTCAACACGGAAGTTGCATTTTGCCAACATCAGAATTGTTCTCATCGTCCAGCCATTATTCAGGCGAAAACGAATTCAAGGAAAAGTCACGCTCAAGTGAAAACGATACATAATATTTTCCTAGCTGGGTATTCTGTAGCGCTTGAGACTAGGAAGAAATTTTCTGCATGCTGATTGAACCCGATGCAAATTTTCGGAGGAGAAATGCTTTCAATTTAATGTAACAATCGAATTAAAGCCGGTAAAACCGCATGTTCAGATTTGACAAACAATATTGCAGGAACTTGGCTTCGAAAATTACCAGAGAAACATTTATTTTAAAGAAAAATAATGGTCGATATTTTCAAGTATTCAGGCTTATAGTTGACACTTGAGTTTGAAACACACATTTCTCTACAGTGTAAAAAAAATGAGTAAATTCGGCATTTTCGATAAGGTAGCTTGAAAAATGTCGAATGATCCTGGCGACTTTATGATCGTCCCCGAACTGCCTTTCTTTTTATTTTTTTTTTAAACCCCCCATAAACTGGTCATTCCCCTTTTTTCTCTTTCCATGTCCTGCGAAAGCAGTTGGAGGGGATGAAATTTGCGTGACATCGCAGGTGAGTCGTCCAGAGGGTGTGTGTGTGTGTGTGTTTGCAAAGAGCTGCTGTATGTGGACGACGACGATGTCGACATCGTCAGTCGTCGCCACGGTTATCGATTTTTCTCTTTCTCTGTCTCTCTAGCCGCCCTTACTTGTCAGCCCTACTTGTCAGACCTCCTCCTCCCCCCTTTCCCCCTCCCCCTCTTTTCTTTCCTGCGCTGCTCAATCCTCACTCCCACTCCCTCGTTTTATTTTTCTCGTCAGCCAGTCGAAAACCTGATGGTGCCCAGTTGCGTGAAACACGAACTTCTCTGCAGGCTTTTTCTGTGGTTGCTGTTTTTTTTTTTTTTCTTCTTCTTCTTCTTGATTTCATCCAGCAATGTATCATGACCATGGAAAGTCTGCGTCTCAAATGAATTTCGAGCAGATGCTCAGGAAAGCGAGCAGCATGATGAGAAATGCAAAAGCCACGGATGGCGTAATATAGGATCGAATCCGGACGATGGGTGCCGGGACAATTGAGTGCGTTCCAAAAGAGCGCGCGCAAAACTCCCAGCGCATTAACACGATCAAAATAAGATTAAGTAATAGTAGTAATCCCTTGAAAGGCTAGCAAATACTTGGAAAAAAATCAGCCTTTTCCAATTGATGAAATAAGCCAATGACTCCGACCATTTCTTTCACCAAAAAGAACACACAGCACTCACGATGTGAAGATGCGTGGTTAGTCCTATTTCTACGTGTCTTTGAACGCACTTGATAAACAGTAGTCATACAAGAGGAAATGTACACTATCAAAGAAAAAATCAGTTGCAGTCCAAATTCATCTTCTTTTGGGACAAAAGAATGTGACGAAATAATTTAAAGGAAATTTTTTTCTCGAAAGAAAGGTTTCATGAAAAAT